GAAACCCTACTCTAGCTAACAAATAACGTCTCTCTAAAGATTTTGTGCAAGGGTCATGGGGTCACTTGAGCATCGCATGACCCATGGCACCAACCCAAATGAGATCCTTAGACCTTGCTCTCGAATCCCTAGCATGAGAGTGCCATTTGAAGATAACATCAGAGAGAAGGAATAAGGTACTTTAGAAGGCATCAGAAAGAAGTTTTGGATAAATATATTTCGATTTCTGCTAGTTCTCTTCTGGTTGCACCCTGTTCAAGCTTGACTATATTAACCCTTCAAACATGCACACAGTGTTTGTTGCAAACTCAATCCTTTGGTATTCAAATTGAAATAAGGAGTTCCATGTTAATAATTAATGAAGGTATATGTGCCCATAAGATCACATAAGAAGCATGTATACAGACATGGACACGAGCACTGAGATTTTAAAAAAAAGGGAGACACAGACATTGAAAGGCCACAGTAGATTTTTATATATTTTTATTTTCTATGTAGATTAATATTACATCCACAAACAATTAAAATTAACAAAAACTAATACTAATTCAAAATAATAAAAAAATCACTGTCTTTTTTTTTATTGTTGATAAATAAAGTTTATTGCTCATAGCATCAGGATGATGCAAAAAATACAAAAAGTGCCTCCAAAAGGAAAAAACCACATAACCAATCAAATCATTCAAGAAATAAAAAAAAAAATCCAGATCTACCATCACTGTAACCCAACTATACAAAACTATAAAAAAACCTATTTTTTAACCATGAGACAGACCGTGCTACCCCTTGAAAAATACGGCGATTCTGTTCCAACAAAACCAGCCAGATTAAGCACAATTGGGCCATGGCTCATGCCTTCTGCTGCCTCCCAATCCAACCCCATCCCCAACTCTAGAGGACCACCATCACCCTCCTTTGCTGAACCCAAGTGATTCCAAAAGTAGAGAAGATGAGCACCCACAAACGATAAGCCACAGGACAATGGATAAGCAAGTGATTCATAGACTTTGCATTACCATAACATATATAGCACTAGTTTACTAGAATATAATGATGGCGAACCGAATTATCAATAGTTAGAATCCGATCAAAAGTTTTCGTCCACGCAAAAAACGCTACCTTAGATGAACACCTGTAACCCAAACACGATACCAAGGAAACTCCCCTTCCATACCACTAGACAAAGCTCGGTATAATGACAAAATCGAGAAAACACCTTTTGCACTTGATCCTCCCCCCCCACACCCCAAGACATCCTCTCTCATCCCCCCAAACCTGGACCCTATACAAGAAACTCAGTAAATCCACCAGCTGCCCAACCTCCCAACCGTGAACCTGCCGACGCAATATAATATCCCAAACCATTGCACCTCCAACCCCATTGATGTAGGCCAAAAGGTACCACATTGAGGCCACTTAGGTTACATTTGTTGTCTTTTAATTTTATTTATTCGGTGGAGATGATGTGTTTCGTGCACTTGTACAGATTTGGCAGGAAATATGAAAATTCAATCAAAAGGGGGCGCAAAATCAGATTCTCCGAGCGAGACGTGAAAAATCCGAGCCCACTAGACCACCGCACGTGCGGCCAAGCTTCACCGCACGTGCGGCCCACCTAGGGATGCGTGCACAAACTTTTTGGTCTGTTTTGCTCCGAATAAAAGACAGAAAATCAGTCAAACCTAGGGTTCGAAAATTGAATACAGAATAGAGGGAGGCTAGGGTTCCAAAGAGAGAAGCTTCTACCAAAGCTTGAAGGACACTTCCATGGAGGTTTCTTCTTCACACTCCTCCATGAGTGGCTAGTCGTATTTTCTAGGGTTTTGATGAAACCCTAGCCATGTAATGAAATTTTTCATGAGCTTTAATTGTAAATCGGTTTGAATGAATGTATGGATGTTTTAGAAGTTTATAAATAATTGTTTCATTCTTCTCTTCAAGCATTCTACTCTCTGTGATTGTTTAATGCTTTCTATACATTAGTATTCTTTGTGTTTGTATTCAAAGTACGAGACGAGTCATACAATGAGAGACGGGTCGTTTTGCTAACATAGTTTAGAGCAAACGACTCGTACTACTCGGGAATAGAATTGTGGATAAGATTGTGAGGGATAAGATTATATCATGAGATAATAAATAAGATAATCAATAAAATGACTGAGGTATTATATTTGGTTAGGATAAAATAAAAAGATAAGTAGCTACAAAAAGACAAAATAGTTTACAAAGTCAATAAGATAAAATATCATATCCAAACCATAATCACTTCATTTTTTTCTCTCACAAAAGTCAAAAAAATCAAAAAAATTCATCCCAAACGAAATTTTTTAGCCCAAACTATAGCCAAAAAGTCGAAAAGGCAACCTGTTTCCCAAACAAAGACTTATTTTTTGACTAATGATGAATAAAAAAATAATCCAAAGAGGCTGCATTCTTCTTCTAATACCATATTACCTATGGTATTATTTAATCCCCTCATTTTTTTTTTTTTTGCTATTTAATTCTCCATACCAATATTACGATTATCTGAAATTTAGTTTGCAAAACAAATACCGAAGTAGATTATTAGGTGAGATCAACATATTCCTCACCTTCAATCCTATCTCCCTTATCCCACAATTAAATACCGAATTAATACTTTAATGGACCCACAAATTTCCTCCACATTCAATTCCTCTTTTAATACTTTCTTTGAAAAGGTATTTTATTCTAATACTTCAATCAAACAGTCCCCAATAGTATACTATCCCTATCTTATAGTAGAGGTCTTCAGTTCAAAAGTCCTGTGCAGTGTTGGAGCAATCCAAATATCTTTTCTTTACTTTTGTTTTTTAGATTTAGGTTGTATAATTTGTTTTAAAAATATATATATTATTAATTTTTAATGTAAGAAACTATTTTTAATTGTCATAAAAAATTATTTTAAAATCAATATAAAATGATTTGTGTTATTTATTTTAAAGAGACTTACCGTCACACTGCTGGAAATTGAGGTTTTAGAGGCGTTTAAAAAACGCCGCAATAGGTTTTTAAAACGCCGTCAAATCCTTTTGTGACGTTTAACACCAAACGCCGAAGATGTGGCCGTCGCTATAACTCTATGGCGCTTTAGAAATGTCGCTATATAACAATAGGCGGCGTTTTATAAAAACGCCTCTAAAAGGTCTACTAACGGTAGCATGACGTCACCATGCTATTTACCGACGTTTTAAAACGCCGTAGTATCTCTGATATTATTTAACGACGTTTTGAGAAACGCCGTGATAGCCCTCTTTTTTTTTTATATGTGCTAATTTTATGTTACTGAATTAAAAAAATACCTATAATAAAACTGAAAAATAACACTAATATGAAATAATAACTCTCATTCACATAATAAAATCTCATCAAATGATAGTCCACACCACAATCATTGTGCAAAAAAAAAAAAACATTCACACAAATCATTTGAATAACATTAAGGAGTCCCCTCTATTTGAGCCAAAACAGGAATCTGAGTTCACCAAAATACAAATTTGGACATTTGAGCCAACTTGATATTCATATTCCCATTCACAGAAAGTTAATTTAGAAAATTATAATAGCAATGACTCAACATCTTTAACACGCATAATTCCACTTCTCATTCATTTGATGATGCTGATGGCGTCTTTCTAAAAGTTCAGACAGCAATGACTCAACATCTTTAACACGCATAATTCCACTTCCCATTCCTTTGAGCAATGATAGAATGACTAGCTGCTAAAGAAAACTCAATCTGTTACTTTCTGTTCATGCTATTACGGAAAATTTTAAAATTCTTGGCAGTAGTTACAAAATCTTAATCACTTGAGCAATACAGAGCTTCTCTGCATACAGACATACAATGCATGCACTATGTAGATCCAAATCAGAATCACCAACCTTTGCACATGCAGAAAGATATAGGGCGGATCCTAGAATGAAAACTAGTATGTCATTCTTTATAGACTGACTGAATCTGAAAAATGACAGTTGCACAAGTTAATTTAGAAAATTATAACACAGAAAGTTAACATCAGTAAGCAATTTGTAAATTAGTACAGATAATAATAGCAGTGATTCAGGACAGCTAAAATTGCAATAGTTCTTTAATGAGAACAAAACTCATTGAAAGACATAAGATGAAGAGGATATCAAGAAATATTTTATTTTATTAAAGGCAACAACTCATAGGGCCTACTTAAAGAAACAGAAGCAACTCTCTTTTTAAACTATAGACTTCATGATCTTCCTATTCTATGGATATCGGCAAAGTGGACAAAATGAAATGATGGTTATTATGAGAAAGAAGATGACAGTATGATGATGATATGATGAAAACTAAGCATAACAAAAAGGTGAAAACCTTTGTCCAATTGTCTGAGGCACTAAAGGCTATGGCACGAAGAGCCAAGCAAAGATGTTAAAAATGAAGGCAGAACTTTTCTGTCTGATAGCATGAGCCTCTTTTGTTGAACCATCAAGCTCAGAAGTTCCTCAAGAAAATTACTCCAGATTGTGCTATTCCCTGTCAATTTTAAGGATTTAGACAAAAGTGTTGCTTATAACAAAAGAAACAAAACAAAACAAATGCGACAAAACAAATAATTGAAGAGGATGCCATGATCAAAACCTTCTTCAGTGAAAAGCTTCGACAAAAATCGGACAGGAGAGATCTTGCATTTGGTAACTAGGAAGTGAAGATGCTTCTGGAAAACATTATTTGACTGACATGCAGCAAAGAAAACAAATAGATCCTGAAGTGTGCATACCCACTTCCTATTATCATCCTGGAAGAAAACAATAAAAAAATAAAAAAACTAATTTAGTTATCTACCTATATGACAGGGTGATAGATTCAGAAATCAATCAAATCAGATACATATGTGACAGTTACAGATTCAGAAAACAGAGTATAGATTCCAGTGAAAGAACAATCAAGAACTTAACTCACCCAAAAACAATCAAGAACTTGGAATGAGTACTAGAGCTTTCATAGAGAATCGAAATGATTACCATTTATTATTCGAGGCATAAACTCTGCTAGCCAACAATGGGATGCAATCATGAATAAACCTGTTGCCTCTGCAGATTTGCAACCACTAGGGTGGCATCCTTATGGGCCTATTAAAAATAATCTTTTCATAATAAGCAACAGCAATTAAGAAAATTAAACAAAACACAGAAGTATGAGTAAGAAAAAAATATTCATTAACTCAACCATGAAGAAAATAGACAAATAAATTAATGAAGCTAATTCTATTCTGAACTTGACATAGTTACCAACCAATTAGATGATATTTCATACTCAAGGGAGATCAATGGTCCTTGCTTTTAAAACACACACATAAATTTAAGCTAATTCTATTCTGAACTTGATTTTCTTCTTCACTGTCTAAAGCTATAATCCAAATATTCCCACTTAAAAGCTTTGCTAAACGGCCTCTATGTAATTAGTCAAACAAACATTTCGAAAATATTGGTCCCTAACAAAGAAAATGAAAACTAACCTTGTCCAACTCTGAAGTTGTCTGAACCACAGTGCTTCTAATTGAACAAAGAAAGTTTGGATAAACACAAGATCCACAATTTATACTTAAAAAACACTCATGTTCCTGTTTTCATAATTCTGGGAGCATTTTTTGCTTCCTGTTCTATACCTTTGTCTGCAAAAATTCAAACATCATAGTTCTCGGTGGCACTCAGATGTAGTTTCAGAATTGAAAAAGTAACTACATCCAAATGAGGCCCAAGTAGTTCAATCTATGCATTTATTATCACCAGTCCAACATAGCACTTGGTGCGGTTCCATCTATACATATCATTCAAGGCCACCAAACACAAGACTTCTAAATTTTACTACGAATACATCTGAGGATTCAACTATATCCATGAAAACTCAGCTGGACCTCTTCTTTCTATAAATGATATAGGAGTTGAATCACCAATAGCAGGGAAGAATGGTTTTCCATACAATTTACCTTGAAGAAATTTCCCAAAATTGACTTTGCCAAAAACCATGTCATAGATACTATCATATAGTGTTACCAACTCTTCTATAACATAAAGCATCATATTAACAACAAAGCCAAGAATATTAAATGTGTAGAAGCATAATCTAGTATAATTAACTTCAAATGGAAAGAATATTATTTCGCATCTATAATTTGCGATGTAGAAGTGAGTACTGTAAAATCAATATATTTTTTCTATCACACATGGCCTCTATGCTGGAGGCAGAGTTGTCAAACCTGACAATTGGCATTACAATAGATAAATAGAAAGAAATTTGCTTATAGAAATTTTTATTGAAGGATTCATAGTAGAAAACCTTGAGGAATATTCCCACGAATAACTTTAAGACAATAATGAACAGTAGCATCAATAAGCACAAATACGGGCGAGGGAGGATCGAGAGACATGGCTTCTGCTACAGTTAAAACAATCTTATCTGCCATGTGTTCAAATTGTGGCTCAAGCAAATGCACAGAAACAATCTCATGGCCAATTCCAGTTCCTTTTACCACATACAAATCTGAAAATACACCCTGTAACATGAAAAGAGCAATATTTAGATATGGAAACACCATCCTGTCGCTCACTGCAACCACATGATGATATATTACTAGCAAACTGACATTATCTTGTTCTTTTTATGTAAGTAACAGTCTATATATATTATATCAAAAAGGCACAAAAAAGAGGGACCCACAGACTTACACTATCTTCAAGTTTTGTTTGGATATCTAAGTCACCACATAATCCTCCACAGTCACTCAGAGGAGAGTCCTTTAGAGGAACATGAACAAGGTGATGAGGCAATCCATTAGCTTCAGGCATAAGATGCCACATAAACTGTAAGCCCACTAATGATGAAAATACATTTTCTGCAACACAGTCCAAGAAAATTAAAATTTATGAACAGACATACAGAGTCACAAAGAATAAACAACAGAATGAATGTGAATATAGTTTTCAACAAGCATACAGCATAAGCATCTAGACAGAATGAAAACAAGAAAAAAAAAAAAATAATAATAGGAGATAATTGGAAAACTTACAAGAAAGTTAAACAATTAGTAAACCACTTTCTCACAGGCAAAAGGTAAACCATTTTCTTACAGGAAAAAATAAATTAACAAAGAAATAACAATTTCAACGTTCTCAAGATAAAAATATAAACTTCAGCATCTCATCATTACCTTCATCATCAAAGGCACGGACATGGAGAGTAGCAAGCCCATCTAAGTCAAGTTTGATGGAGTTATGAAATATCTGGATCCTGGAGAAGTTGTCAATGTAAACTTTGCACCGAATTACCATCCCAGTATGTACATCAGTGGCATAAACAGCAGTCTCCTTTCGACCACTATATGAAGCAATTGACCTCAACCGGGCACTAGTTGAGCAGTGACCACTTGAATTGAATTCAGGCAGAACAGATAAAATGTCATGATGATCCCATGACCTGCCAAGAAAAATAAGTACTAAGTACCACCCAAGATAATATTAACAGTAATAGAAGTTATCAATGATTATAAAACACTCTAGTATAATTATAAAACCTAATCTCATGTGAATACCCCTCTAACTCCCAGGACTCAAAGTAGAAGCTTCTTGTCTTTGTTCTCTCAAATACCTTAGCAGTGTTTCAGCCTGTAAAACCAAACAATTAGGCATTAAAATTCATGCTGCCCGTCAAACATCATCACAAGGAAATTATAGGTAATTTTTATACATATAGTTAGCCAATGGATACGAACATAGATGTCCACAGTCTTTATTGTTCATCTCCGGGCAACCTCCATGACGTCTGCTTGGCCGTCTTATTAGACAATAGAATATAAAAAAATCTGATAAAAATTCTAATTCAACGTTGAAATAAACGATATCAAATTACCCCTATTATTAAATTTTTACTCAAAATTAGTAAATTTTTTGATTGACGTTGGAGATTCTGTTACCTCCCAAAAAAATTAATAAAATAATAAATAAAAAAAAGTAGTGTGAAATTTCACTAAACTGACCTTGTGCTTGGCTTTTGTAGTACCAGTTTGAGCAAGCGCTGCCAATGGAGGAATCCCATCTTCCCTGACAAGCAAACCCCTATTCCTCACACTCTCACCACACAACTGCAACAGCGTCATCACCGCGAACTCCTTCCCTTTCGGCGACCCATCCTCGATCACCTCCACCAACGCCGCAATCCCCCCTTCCTCCACAATCGCCTCCTTCCTTTCCGCCACCGCCGCCAAACTACTCATCACCACCATCGCCTTCTCCGCCATCTGCTCCGTCGCCACCAGCCCCACTACCGCCTTCACCGCCCCTCCCTTCACCGCCCTCTCCTTGTTCACCTTCACCATACACAGCTTGTACAGTGTCGTCATCGCGTCCTTCTTCCCCCTATTCGATCCATTCATCAATAGCGTTATCAATAGCGGAATCGCTCCGCAAGCTCCGATCGAAATCTTGTTCTTGTCGATCAACGACAAGTTCAGCAACGCACATGCCGCTCTGAATCTTCGAAATCGCTCTGAACAGCCGATTGATATCGATCTGAATCTTCGAAATCGCTTTGAAATCGCTTTGAACAGCCGATGGAGCTTGTGTTCTTTGAAGCTCTCTTCAAGAACAGTCGATTGATCTTTCAAGAGACGAAGCTTCTTCCTAGAGTACTCTCCTTCGTCTTCTTCGTCGCTGAGAGAGAGAGAGAGAGAGATGTGTGCGTATAAGATAAGAGAGATGTGTGCGTATAAGAGAGAGAAAGCGCACAAATTCAAGAATAAGGGTTTCAAAAAGGGGCGCGTGTATGCACCGCATTCGGAGGCGTTTTTAAACGCCTTCAATTACAAAATGGTGCCGTTTTGGTTAAAAAAATATACGACGATTATTAAACACCGTTAAAAATTAAAAAATGTGACGTTTAATAAAATGCCGTTAAATTCCTAATTTCCTGTAGTGTCACTTCCATTGATCAAACTTATTTATCAATAAGTTTTATTTTTTTTTAATTTTACCTATCAATATCTTAAAAAAGTGTTGAGGCAAAATAAACATTTTAAAACTTAGGTGGTATTTGATTCATTGGAATGATCATTTCATTAAAAAAAATCTATATATATATTTGATTAATTAAAAAATAATAAAAAATACTTGAAAAATCTAGAAATCCGCTAGATATTGATTTGTGATTATGTATCAATTTAAAGCAATAAAACAATCTCAATCAAACAATCAAGACAAACCGACACAATGATTTTAACATGAAAAAATCATAATTGGAGCACCTCCAATTGTGATGAAAAACCACGGGTAACAGCCACAAAACAATCCACTAAGAAGATATAAAGGAATTACACAAGTATACTCTCAATTACCTAGCGAATCCACACCCGAATTGAACCAACCCCTATGTGCTTCTTCCAGCCCTGTCTTCACCTCAGAATTGTCTTGACGATGAGCTACTCCAGAATCCACCAAAGCTTCAGGCTCGAATTCTTCAGAATCCACCGAAGAACTACTCTCTCTTTTGTGTAGAACAAACAAATAATCCTTTGATGTATACTCTTTAAACCATGAGTTGAATACTCAATCAAAACATCAAAGAAAACTAGCAAAATATCCCCCAGATATAAACCCTAGAACCCAAGAAGAAGATCTGGAGGAGTAATCCTAGATTTGGAGCAACTTGCAAATTTATACAATCTGAAATTGCGAGGTCCGCTCGAGCGTGGGAAGGGACTCTCGAGCGGGGACATCTATTAAAAAAAATCTATATATATATTTTAAAACTTAGCTTTGGCCCCTCTTTTGGCTTGCATGTTTGTAGTGCATTTTGTCCATCACTTGAGGCACTTTTAGCCACTGTTTTTGGGGGTGTTTGAGGCCTCCCATTTTAGTCTAAGTCCCTTCTTGGACATGGTTGTATGTTTGACTTGTTGCCTCTAATTGCATGCATGCATTGTACCATATTAGCATTGCATAATGAATTGCATTGTAGCATTGCATGTTAGGAACATTGCATGCTTGCCATGATATGTTGCATTACATTTGGCATGCTTTGCATTTTAGTAATATGTTGCATTACATTTGGCATGCTTTGCATTTTAGTAATATGTTGCATTTTCGAGCCATGTTTGCATAACATGCATTGCATTGCTTGGTTTGGGGTGTCAAACCAAGTGTGAGGGGGGAGAAGTGTTCATACTACAAGTGATGTAACGTGTCTCAACTCTCGGTCACCGAGGCCCTTGACTTTGGCATGATAGGGTTTTGGTATTCATTTGTATGTTGCATGCATTTTCATTGAATTGCAACCTTGGCTCCTTAGGCCATCACGCATCAAAATGCATGATTGATGGCCCGAGGGTCGAGGGTCATGCTCCCTTGAGTCCCTTGCATGATAGGGAGTGTGCCCGCGCATACATTTGCTTGAAATTCCATGCCATACACTGTCTGTCCTTGTTGCTGTCAAAAACCAGTTTCTGCAGGGAGTTTTTGCCGACCGGCGCTGTAGAGTGCCGACCGGCCATGGATTGGTGGCCGATGATATGAAACCCCAGCCGATGGATAAGTTCCATGGCCGGTGGGTATTCCCTTCAGCCGATGGTGTCCTACAGGGTTCAGGGAACCTGTCCCAGGATTTTGGCAGTTTTCAGAGAAGCAGGGCAGTGTAAACAGAGGCAGCAGTGGTATGGTACGGGCTTTCGGGGCAAGATAAATCCGAGCATGCATCATTCACGCATCCCGAGGCGGGGGGCTGCGGCCATCTTCTCTTTGCATTTAATTTGTTAATTAATTAGGAATTCTGTAATAATTAATTTAGTATTCGGACTGTAATATTTATTCGGACCCTCCGAGTGAGGGCAATTGTGTAATAAGTGTGCGTGAGTGTGTGTATGTCTTCCAACCCCACGTCTTTCTTCCCTTTTATTTACCCACTTATGATGGTAGACTAGGGCATATTTAAATTAGCATACCTTATGCTATGCATGCGTGCATTCATACATTTGTCTTGCATACACCAGGCTCGGCACATCATGCTAACTGCATTGTGTTTCAATTCCAAATTGAATACGTGTTAGTTGCAACATTTCACATGCCATGTTTAGAATAGCCGAGCCCATTTCTAGTTGCACTTTGCATGTGTTGCATTAGCCATCTTAACATGAACTAGGATCATGCACATGATTACTAACTGGTTTCTGTTTTGGCTTGGAGTACTTGGTAAGCATTTATGCTTTAGCATACCGCATGTGTGCCAATGTTGCCATAACAACATGATTACCATGAGGCTAGCTGCTTATGTGATATAACTGCTTGAATGCCGGTTGAATTACCTAAATTGGGATAATGCATTAAAACTGTGAGTTTTAAGCCCACTGGATAGTGGCAAAACCATCTTTTCTAAAGCCCACTTGAGGGGGGGCAAAACCTGCATTTTAGCCTACTTACGAGTAGCAAACCATTTCCAAAACAAGCATGAAATGTTTTGTTCCAATTTAAGTGATTTGGTCTATACTTGTTTGCTGTGCGCATAACATAGTAATTCTAGGCTAATAACCGGAATAAGAACACATAACGTTTTCAAAAACGGATATCATGGTTAGTAGAGGCCGATCTTCGGATCGGGCGAGAGGGGGTGCTCATAGCTGACCTTCTCCAATCGTACCCAAGCTCCCGAGCCAAGACAACTTTGGTGATGACGGACACATGGCCTTTGGCACCGAGTCAGGGTTTCCTAAATTCCCCAAAATAAAAATATTTAGGTGGCGACTCTATGTCTGGCAAAGCAGTCCATGTTTGGCACTTCTTTCTAAAAATCTGTTTTTCTCAAAACGATTTGCCGGATTTGGACTCTTTGGTTCAGATTTAGAACCGTGACACAAATCGAGTCCGAACTGTAGCAGGGTCCCCCGCGGACGTGTTACACACGGGCTCTTCAAATACTTCAAATTCTTCCCGTGACACAGCTCCCATGTGCAATATTTCTAGCAGAAGGCACCGTGGAGTTTGTTACCGTGTGTCAGGAGCCTGTTTCAAATGTGGGAAACAAGGGCATATGGCCTGAGATTGTAATCAGAATGGTGGAAAGATGGCTGCTAGTTTCACTGCATCAATCCCAAAGCCGGGAAATACTATGAGACCTGTTATCACCGGGGATACCGTGAGACAAGGGAGAGTTTTGGCCATCTGGGGAATCTGTATTGTGTGAATCCATATACCGGTTTTGTGATATGCGTGTTGAGGATGCTATCCTATATGTAGATTTGTTGCCTTTGAACTTTAGGCATTTTGATGTAATTTTGGGCATGGATTGGTTGACCAAGTATTATGCCACCATTGATTGTGTGACAAAACGAGTTGTATTTAAACCACCAAAACATAAAGAGATTGTGTTTGTGGGTAATGGGGTAGTGCCTCCACCTTATTTGATATCTACAATGATATCTGCAATGAAAGCATGTAAATTAATCAGGAAGGGGTGCCAGGGTTATCTGTGCTATGTGTTGATTGAACAAACTGTGAATGTTGAATTGAATGATATCCCTATTGTTAGAGAATTTCCAGATGTGTTTCCAAATGAATTTCCAGGGGAATTGGTAGATAGGGAGATAGAGTTTACTATTGAAACTGTGCCAGGCACCTAGCCCATTTCTAAAACTCCCTACAAAATGGCTACTACCGAAATGAAAGAATTGAAAGAACAGTTGCAAGACCTGCTTGACAAGGGGTTTATTTGACCTAGCACTTCGCCTTGGGGTGCACCAGTATTGTTTGTGAAAAAGAATGATGGAACTTTGCGTTTGTGCATCGATTATCGGGAATTGAACAAGGTAACAATAAAGAACAAATATTCCCTACCCCGTATTGATGACTTATTTGACCAGTTGCAGGGATCACAGGTGTTTTCTAAGATTGATTTAAGATTCGGGTATCATCAACTGAAGGTTAAGGTAGAGGATGTTGAGAAAACCATATTCAGAACGAGGTATGGACATTTTGAGTTTCTTGTTATGCTGTTTGGAGTGACTAATGCTCCGGTAGCCTTTATGGACTTAATGAACCGAATTTTTAAAACCTACCTTGACGAATTCGTTGTGGTTTTTATTGATGACATTTTGATATATTCCAAAGATAGACTTGAACATGAACATCATTTGAGAATTGTCCTACAAATACTTCGGGAAAGAAAATTATTTGCTAAACTAAAGAAATGTGAGTTTTGGTTGGATGAAGTTGTTTTCTTAGGGCATGTGATCAACAAGGAAGGAATTTCAATGGACCCACAAAAAATAGAGGCAATTGTGAATTGGCCGACGCCAACAAATGTGACAGAAGTCCGTAGTTTCATGGGCTTAGCTGGATACTACAGGAGGTTTGTGAAAAAATTTTCAAAGATAGCTGTACCTCTTACCCAGTTGACATGCAAGGGGCAATCATTTGAATGGAACGATGAAAGAGAATCAGCCTTTCATGAATTGAAAACAAGACTGACCACTGCACCAATTCTGACCCTACCTTCAGGTACAGAGAATTTTGTAATTTTCAGTGATGTGTCTTATAAAGGTTTGGGTTGTGTGTTAATGCAGAACTGAAAGGTTATTGCTTACGCCTCCCGACAGTTGAGACCACACGAGAAGAATTATCCAACATATGACCTCAAATTGGCCGCAGTCGTTTTTGCTTTGAAAATCTGGCGACATTATCTGTATGGAGCAAAGTGTGAAGTCTACACAGATCACAAAAGTTTGAAATACATTTTCACGCAGAAAGAGTTGAATATGCGACAG